TGCACCTTTCATTTCAGCAATGAAGATTATTTAGAATCAGCAAAATGTCAGAAAAACTTTTAAAGTTTGCCTATATAAATTCTGCGGATGATATTAAGTATTTTCCCAGCTGGTGCGCCGAAACCACTTCTTGGGATCGAGAAACCGCGCATTGAACAAAGAGGATCACGAACACTACTGTACTGGACAGTTGGTGGTGACACATCAAATGTTGCAGCCTATAAGGTAAGTAATATTCTCTGTTTCGATTTTTATGATTCTTCATAGACTTTGGACTTCGACCGCAAGAACAATATTTTACCGCATACGCGGATCGTCTCAAGTTGCCTACATATCGCTGAAACAATGATGTGCCGCATTTAGGATTTGCCCACGTTATTTGTGACTTTCAAGCTGTGCGAAATAGCAGGTTTAATTTGCGGCTGTAAGTCAAAAGCACAGATTTTAAACGTTGACTGCTGATATGCGAGTAACTCATGATCCAGTAAAATAGAAAGAATAGCATTTTGAACTGGTAATGGTTCGTGTTTCTCCAAATTTCACTTTCCTAATCTCTCTTTTTACCGCAAAGTTGAACTTTGTGACATAATGATTATTAAATCACTGCGCTTTTTCAAAGATTTCCTAGTACTCAGTTTCACTATTCAGACGGTCGCATTCAGGGTTTCTGAAACTATATACGATACCAAGTTCGCAAAACTTTATTTTTCCAACTTTTTTTGCGGAGCTAGGCTCTGACTGATAACGAACAAATGCATACGCGCGCATATATGCTTGCTTAAATTTATACATGTATGCATACCATACGTACATACATATATGCAAATACACATAAATACATAAACACAATGCTCCATTAACATTCCTTTTTGTGCGTTTTTGCCTATATGCAAATTGCAGAAACGCAGTTTGGGACGACCCTGTCTGTACGTGTATGTATGTGCGTATGTTTGTCGTGTGTGGCGTCTGTCCGGGTATTTCAACTCGGCAACCAAGCAAGTTTCAGCGCCGAGATTTTGCTATTGGGTATCCCGGCCAAGTACCACCCCAGAACCGCGGTACATCCCTCGCGCACGTCTGGGCCTCGCATACGAGGGGTGAAAGTTTTGGCGGGAAAATTGATAACTCGGGAACGGGAAAAGATAGAAGGCTGAAACTTTGGGAATATGTGCCCATACCATGCGCGACCCCCCATTTTAATATCATCCCCTGCGGACGCCTGGGCGTCGCGTATGGGCCCCTTAAAAAAATATGCAAATTTTTTGACGGGGGAGCGATCTCGGGAACCTCACGGGCTAAGGGGTTGAAACTTTGTAGAAATATCCTCTGGCTAGAGATTTCAAATTCAGCCCCTAGGTATGCGTGGTGCCCACGGAAGAGCGTATGAAAGTTTTAGGGGGAAAATTGCTAACTCGACAACCAGGAAAGCTAGAAGGTTGAAATTTTACGGGAATATTCCCCGTCCAACTTAAGTATTTCAGATCCAGTCTTTAGGTACGCGTGGTACTCACGTAAGGACGTTTGAAAGTTTTAGGGGAAAAATTACTAATTCAGATAACAGAAAAGCTGGAAGGCTGAAATTTTCAGTGAATGTTCCCAGCCCATGTACGACTTAAATTTATCAAATTCTGGCCCCAGTCATCCGTGGTTCTCATGTATGGCCCCGTGAAATTTTTTGGCGGGAAAACGGCTAATTCAAGAAAGCTGGGAGGCTGAAATTTTCAGGGGATGTTTCAAGCGCAAGTACGGCATAAGCCTATCAAATTCAATCCTTAGTCATACGTGGTTCTCATATACGGCCCGGTGAAACTTTTTTGGCGGGTAAATGACTAATTCGGGAACCAGAAAAGCTGGGAGGCTGAAGTTTTAAAAGGATGTTCTCAGCCTGCATACAACTTAAAAATTCCAAACCCAGCCCTCAAGTATGTGCGGCTCTGTGAAAGTTTTGGCGAGAAAATTGTTAACTCGAGAACCAGAAAAGTTGGGAGGCTGAGACTTTGGAGAATATTCCCCGTCTAAATAAGACTTGAATCTTCAAATTCAGTCTTCACTTACGCGTGATTCTCGTGTAGGGGCAATTAAATTTGTGGCGGGGAAATTACTCATTGAACAATTGTGTTATTTTCAAAAAACACCGCAAAATGAAAATAGATTATTTCTTTTTATGCAAAATTTACGATGATTTTCGGCAATAAGCACACAAGGTAGGTGTGAAGAAACAACCATTCATGCAGTTAACCTAATTCAAATTTTGTGCAAAAACGCATGATTGCTCCGGCTCGTCTGGTGCGTTCCAGCCTAGGTTAAATTTTTAAATGAAAGCTCAGGCTGGAACGCATCGGGCGGATCCGTGCGATCATGCGTTTTTGCACCGGACTTGAAGTATTCAGGTCATTAACTGCATGAGTGGTTGTTGCTTTACACCTGCTTTTGCGGTCACTAGCGTAAATCAACATAAATTTTGCATGAAGCAAATGTACTATTTCCATTTAACGACCATTCTTTAAAAGAAACCTAGTTATCCAGTCAGAAATTCAGCCAAAATTTTAAGTGCCCATACGTAAGAACTACGCATACCTCAAGGCTGAATTTGAAATACTTAAGTTGTATTAGGACAGGAAATATCACCCTAAAATTTCAGCCTTCCAGCTTTCCTGGTTTTCGATTTAGCAGTTTTCCTGCCAAAACCTTTCACACGCCCTTACGTGAATACCATGCATGCCTGGGGCTGAATTTGAAATCTTTAGCTAGAACATGCACAGAGGATGTCCCTATAAAGTTTCAGCCCCTTAGTTTGTGTGGTTCCCGAGATAGCCTTTCCCCCAAAAAATTTGCATATTTTTTTAAAGCGTCCGAACGCGGCACTCAGGCGTCATGGGGGATGAAATTAAAACCGAAGGGTCGCGCATGGTATGGGCACATGCCTCCAAAGTTTCAGCCTTCTAGCTTTTCTGGTTCTTGAGTTGAAAGTGGGTGATAAAAAGTGCGAAAACACACACAGCCGCTTCCCAATATGTGTTTTTGAAATGTGCATATATGCAAAAACGCATAAAAAACACATAAAAAGTGAACCGAAAAAAGAGGGTAATTACTTTAGCAACTTGACGAATTTTGCACCAAAAATAAGGTATATCTGTTACAAAACAAAATCGATAAAAACTTTCATAATTGTAACCTTTCCAGATTGAATTACGGTCGGATTCAGAGAGGGACTGGCGGCAATATGGTGGTTTTGTCCCGCATTCACCGTCTGAAATACATTTTCGACAGGAATTACCAAGTCTGGCAACCCATAAGCACTATTATGCGCGTGTTTCAGCTACCGACACTTCTCGACGTGTTCTTGCAACATCCGAAGTGACCAGTTTTACCGTTCAGTGTCAGGGTATGAATTTCTCTATGTTCGAATTCCTGTGATCAACAGCACTACACATACATTTGGTGTCGCCAGCTAATCGCAAACAGTTGTAACACTGATCAAAGGAACTGGAAAATTGCCATTTTGTTTGCCATCATTGTAGCTGGAGAGCCAATTTTTGAATAGCAGCTGTTGGAAGTTTCGAAATCTACCAGAGTGCGACTACTTATTCCCAGTTCTGTAATTTCAAAGCAAAGCTTTTTGCTAATCTTTTTCCAGAATAAGACGACTTGTAAACTGAAAATTGGCAATTTTCGATAATAAACTTTTTTTCAACTTGTACAGTATGCTTACGATGGTTTATACAACAACCAGTGCAAACACCAATAGTGAGCCAGTGGCCGTTTTAAATGTTAACTATCAAGCAGGTATTCATAGTTTACTTTCAGCGCCCAGTGTTGTGCCACAGAATCTACGCTTGGAACCTGTTGCTGATGGAATTCGATTATCGTGGACATGGACAGGTCAGGAGAGCCCAGAATGCGAACCGTATTTTCTGATAACTGGTTATCAGAACGGAGGTCCGTTTTCGGAGCGAGTCAGTGGACAGTTGCGGGAGTTCACTTTCCAGAATGCAATCGGTGGTGAATGGCATGTGGAAATGCGAGCTGGAAATCGTGTTGGTACTGGTCCCAGTAGCTCACCGGCCAACTTGCACAATGTTCCCATCGGTACCATTTTATATGGGTTTTAAAAATTTGCTGCGAAAAATTCGAAAAAAGATGAATAAGCCTGCATGGCATAAATACTTACGAAAGATTTTGAACATATCTTTACTCGAATTCTTGAGGCAGTTGTTAATTCATGCCTAAGTTTTCCAGCTATGCAGCTGGTAACTTCCCCTGTTGTTTTGACCATTTACTGGTGGTCATTGCTAGCGATTTTCGGCGTTCGTTTCGTCTTTTCGTGTGCTTACATTCACGTGTGATTCATAAGTTATCAGAGAAAGCTTTTTAGTTCAAGCAGGAGGGTGCATGTGATGGCTAATAATAATGATAACTTTAATAATAGTTATAATAATTACGATAATCGTTTCATAGTAGCAATAATGTAGCAATAATAGTAATAATAATGGTAATAACATTAAGAGTAATAATAACAATAGTAGTAGTGGTAATAACATTAAAAATAGTAGCAGTAATAATAATTCAGATAATCCAAAATTTTTTTTTTTTTTTACATCCGTCTGTACAACGTCTGGTCTTGAATGATAGAGGAGTACCAGACTTATTTCAGCATATCTGAGTTCTTTGAGCGAACTTTCATGATCTGTCAAGCATTGCCTACTTATTCGTGCCAAAATCTTTAGCTGTCTGTTTTCACTTTGAGCTGCAAGGACTTTTTGCTTTCTCTTGAGCACCAGTTTCCTATCATAAAAATATTTTATGCATAAGTATTACGTGAATGTTGGATTATGGTGTCTTTCCCACGATCATTGTTTTTTCCTGTCTCATCCATTGTCCCCATTCCAGTCTCAAAGGGTGTCCGTGTCCGTGTGCCACGTAGCATCTGTGATCCACGTACAGATTTCTGGTGTCGTCCACCGGGTGAAAGTGACGATGTTGCTGTACCACGTCATCCCGACGAAGGTTTGCTTCGTGTGCTGTGCCGTTTGTACCTTGCCCCTCTTTGTAAACGGTTAACTCTTTGTCCTTCTGTGTTTCTCAAAAGCTTCTGGTGAAATTGCATTTATCCTCAAATTATTCTAAAAATTTTTTGATTTTGAAATTTTCGACCTCCTTTTTGAAAATCTTATCAAAATGCTATAAAATAGCCCAGACCAGGTGTATCAAAATGACATAAAACAGTTATAAAGTGGCCGGCACAGCAGCGACGCATGCCGATAGAGCATACTTTCAATCCCCAAAAATCATAAACAAAACACTTTTAGGAATTAAGTATATCTTCATGATGAGCATATAAAATTGCTTCCAGATGGCTAAAAATTCCAAGCTACTCTCATGCTTCACTAATTTTTTTAGCATCAGTTTTACACATTTTTGAAAGTTAGAAAATTTTTGGTTTTAATATACAGCCTGTTCAATTTTTGAAAACTAAAAGTTGTTTCGGTTCGATTTTTCGCAGATTAAATTTTTTTAAATTAATTAAAGTTTGAAGTCGAATAAATGTCTAGTTTTTTTTAGAATTCCGAGTTTTTCAGTTTTTCTTTAAGAATTCTCTATTTTCAAATATTATCCGTATTTGTGGCTATGTGTTTTTATGCTTTTGTTTTATATGTCCTCTACTTGCATGTTTCAATGGTATACGTAATTTGCTGGTTTTTTGAGCTGCAGGAAGCAATTAGTATGATTTACTGAACTTTATGTAGATTCGTTCTAGTTTTAGTACTGTATGTTTCATTAAACAGAAACCTTTTCATTTTCAGCTAATCCGAGTCGTCAGTGATTTTCAGCATTGGTTTCGGAACCAAGGGTAACGACGAGAGGTGGTGATCTTTATGTAGAATGGAACAGTGAAGGTACCGGTCGTGGTGTTTTCGGATACCGTGTCCAATACAGAACAGATAATACCGGTTGGACTCCTTTTGGGTATGGCGTTAATAGATTTAAAAAATTCCGAAGAATTTTACTGGGTCGTCAATGGATTAGTGGATAAGAAGTCGAAATTTAATTTCAAAAATGATAACAATGATCGATTGCAAGGGAATGACAAAATCAAACAAAATTTTACGAAAATAGATGACTAATGAATAACTATTTGATAAAGTAAGAACGTGCTATCTAATTCACATCACTGAATAAATGCATGGATTCTTACTACCACCCAGCTCTAACTGGATAAATTGATAAAAATTTGTCAAGAATATCAAGACTACCTAGGCAGTTGGTTGGGTATCTCATGTTAGTGATGCTACTGGGATGCCCCAATATGTCGAGCACAGATGCGCCAAGACCTTCGATCCTGAGCTGCATACATTCAAACAGCACCACCGTCTGTTCGAAGTATGTGCACTACCACTTCAGAGACCACCGGAGTGATTGGCCACTTTCGTAGTGATTTAACTATTTAATTATGGAGCGGTAATCAACTTACTTCAGCATAATGATCGCTAGTAAACACGATCAAAGCGCACCTTCTCTTCTGCCTGTAGTTGACAGCGCTTCTGCTGCTGCTGCAATTCAGTTCGCATTATCTGCTGGTAATCTCTCCTCTCCTCCCTCTCTTTCTTCGCAAAGTTCTTCAGAAAACAATTGCTAGATGTAACGGTAGTCTCTCCCCAATCGTAGGCCCTTTGGTCACTCCTTGTAAGCTTGTTCATAACGATCATAATTAGTACAAGAGAAACTGTGCGAAGGATTATACCCACATCTGGAAGTTTAGGAAGAAACAGAAACAGCTGCTTTAGTATTTTTTTTGCAGGCAGATAGTACCATATGTAGGCGACAACAAACGTTATGCTCAGCTATTAACAGGTCTTCAGCAGGGAAGTAACTATCTTGTACATATCCAGGTGCTTGATCGAAATTCATATGTGATGTATACCAGTCCCGAGGCTTCTGCCAAAACGGTTTGTTCCGGTAAGCTTCAGGTGTAGCTCTTTTTTGGATTTATTCTATGCCGCACCTCAATAAACTGGGAATGAGAAGATTTTGTGCGCTTCGTAGCTTGCGAAATTGTTTTGAAAAATTTTTGCATCCTGTGTTTTCTAATAGTTTTTACTGTTTGTTTTTTTCATTCCACTTTTTATGCGTTTTTTGCTGCTATGCAATGCGGAAAGCGCATATTGACGAGAGGTTGTCTGTGTGTGTGTGTCTGTGTGCGTGTCTGTCCGTGTGTGCGCTGGGCCTCTGTACCGATTTTCATCTCGAGACCTACAAAAGCTACAGGGCTGAAACTTTGGGAATTAGTCTACATGCACGTACGGGCCACAATCCCCAAAATGGGCGGTCTCACCAGCGTGGTACCCGCGTTAGAGTCCGCCAAAGCTTTTTTCGGGTAAGCTGCTAACTCGGGAACCAGAAGTGCTTAGGGGCTGAAATTTTAAGGGGATTTTCCCCGTCCAAGTAGGTATTAATGAGCTCAAACCCAGCCCTCGGGTAAGCCTGGTACCCGCGTACAGGCCCACCAAAATTTTTTCGGGTAAGTTCATAACTCGGGGATCTGAGAAGCTAGAAAACTGAAATCTGAGGGAGATGTTCCCCGTCCAAGTAGGTGTTAAAGAGCTCAAACCCAGCCTCCGTACATGCGTGATACGTGCGGGTCCGTGAAAGTTTTCTTCCACTAAATTGCTAACTCAGGAGTCAGAAAAGCTAGAAAGCTGAAATTTTAAGGGATGTTTCCTGGCAGTTCTGGCGGCCAGTCAAAATTTGTTTTGCTGAAGCATTTGCCGAAAAAATCGGTGCCGTTAGTGACAAAAGCTGCGGGGAACTATGCAAAAAACGCATCTTTGCACGGACAGCCCGTGCGTTGGCCAATTATTTTCTTATTGGGTACCAACTGGAAAAATACTGTTCAAAATCATAGGGCCAAGCGTAACTGCGTTGGGCGTGTGGAAGCATCCAGTAACAACACTAAAGCGAATCACTACACCCATTATCAGGCTGCGTTGGGGTTTCTGATATTTCATTATTCACTGCCTGTTTATTAATCTTTGTTATTTTATTATCATGGAACTGTGTTTCTTAGTCTTTTGTAACGAGGAGGCGGGCCTGTGCGGGGTGCAGCTTTGGGGTCAAACACCCAAATTAATAAACAATCTTTTATTAGTAAAACAGCGTAGAACCAAAAATGGAAATCAGGAAAACAAACAAATCATAAAATAACCCGGCAGCAGCTCCCAGGCTGCCGCCGTACAATTTTTTAGTACCACAAAACAATTTCAAGTTCATTTCTAATGTCACGGAGGGGAATTCGAGTCAAGAGACGGGACATTTGCATGCTACAGGGAACCGAAGGGCAACTGGGCAAGGCGAAGGGGCTTGAGCCGCTATTTTCGTTTCCTTGCTGCTAGCACTTTCTTCCTTTTGCAACATTTTGGATATTTTTTAATTTGTGTTCTGGTTTCCATCGTTGCAAGCTTACCC